TCCATGTTCATCCTTTTTGTGTCTGAATGGGGTACCATTTTATGTCTGTCTCACATTTTGTTTATTCATTTATTAGTTGGTGGGCTTAAAGTTTGTTTTTGTTAGGAAAATGCTACCAACATTCATGTGGTTTTGTGTGAATCTTTCATGTCTCTTGAGAGTAGAATTGCTGAACCATAGAGTGAAAGGAGCATGGGGTTTAATTGATCTTAATTCTGTGAACTGTTGTTAATTAAAAACTAACTTTATACCATATATAATCTTTGTTCATTCAAATAGTTACCAAATACAAAACTGCAGTCCAAGTGTCCTGGTGCACACCTTTAATGCCAAGATTTAGGGACCAAAGATTGGCAGATCTCTGCCTTTAAGACTGTATAGTAAAACCCTGTCTTACACACAGCTGGATCTCTGTGAGTTTGAGGTCAGCCTTGTCTACATAGTTCCAGGACAGTCCGGGCTACACAGAAACCCTGTCTTGAAACCACCACACACATACACAGCTGGGCACAGGCAACCAGGATCTCTGAGTTTGAGGCCATCCTAGTCTACAAAGAGAGCTCCAGGACTATATGTAGAGATCTCTCTCCAACTCTTATCTCCTCCAAGAAAGAAAAATAATGTAACTTGAAATAATTTGTTTAAATACACACAAAACAAAAAATACCTAATTTATAAATAAATTAATAAATTTATTAATAAAATTTGGGAAAGCATTTTTCAATGATATTTGTTGTATTGCTTTTTGTAACTTAATTTTATTTTGAGTATTGCTTCTGTGTATGTGTGTGTGTGTGTGTGTGTGTGTGTATGTGTACCACATGAGTGCTGGTGCAAAAGTGCCAGGTTATTAATTTGGATATGAGCTGACCCCGTGGCTTCATGTTTGAATTTTAGGTTCCCAACATTTAGCAAGATGCCTGTCAACTGAGTAGATGCTTAGTCAATGTTACTGAACATAAAATTTTAATTACTTGTAAGAATCTACAGTGTTATCAAATATAAATCTTTGTGCTAATGATAAAGCAGTGAACAGAGCAAAGACCTTGTTCTTGTGGAGTTGACATGTTTGTTAATTATCTAATAAGCAAACCAGGAAAGGTATAGTATAATGAATATTAGTAATCTTGTGGAGAAAAATAAAAGAGGGTTGGGGAATGAGAAGAAAGAATGGGGGAAATAATAGTAATATACCCCTTGCCCCAGCCGCTTGGAAGCCTGAGTTGGGAGAATCATGAGTTTGAGGTTAATTTAGACTGTATAGGAGAAGATACTTACAAAAGTCAAGGCCTAGGAATGTAGCTTAGTGTTATGTGTTTGCCTGGTGTGTTCATCCCCTGGATTCAGTCTAATGTTTGTGGATTCAGTCTAATGTTTGTCTATGTGTGTGAGGAAGGAGAATCCCAGCTATTTATATCATGTTCAAAAAATTAGCTCCAAGTGGAATCTGAAATCCAGATGTTTTGAACATTGCATAATCCTCACACATTTGTTGATGTTAGAGTGTTTGAATTTTGGATTATATATTTTCAGTTTCTAAAAGTATGCAGATAGTTCAAAAATCATAGACACTCTGAAGTATTTTCTTAATTTTACAATCTAGAATCACCAGGGGAAAGTCTCCAAGAGGGATTGTGTAGATCAGTTTGGCACCTGTGTGTGTGAAGGCGGGGAGGGTCTTTATTAGGTTAATTGATGTAAGTAGGCGTCACCACACCCTGGGTCTGGGTCCTGGAGGAGATGGCTAGCTGAGCAGCATATTCTCTGCTCCTGACTGTGGGTGGGACTAACTGCTCCAAGTTCCTGCTACCATGACTTTTCTGAAATGATGGGCTTGTGAACTAAAATAGACCCTTTTTCTTCTAAGTTGCAGGGTATTTTGTCACAGCAATAAAAGAAATTAAGAGTATCTTTCCACTTTTTCTTTCCTGCTGAGAGTTTGAATGGATGTTAAATACACTACCATCTACACCCTCAGTTCCTGTTGTTAGAGACTAATGAGCTATCCAAGTTGTACTCTTAAAATTTTCAAAAGAAAACTAAAGGGAGAAAAAATACGTTGAGACACTGGGTTAGATAAAGATTTTTACTTTAGCGGATGGTGATGTGGTGCACATGAGAGGAAGAGACAGGTGGACAGGTGGACCTCTGTGAGTTCAAGGCCAGCCAGGTCTACAAGAGCTAATTCTAGGACAGGCTCCAAAGCTACAGAGAAACTCTATCTCAGGAGAAAATATATATATTTCAGCCAAATGTCAAAATGTATTTAAATTAACACTGATATTTTGAAGATATTTTTAGAAAAATGAAAGCTATGGGTTGGGATAAAATATTTGTATCTGACCAAGGAATTGATTTTTGTTCTTGTTTGTTTTGTTTTTTTGAGGGAGGGTTTTACTCTAACCCTGGCTGTCCTGATTCTTGTTTTCTCTTCTCCAGTAGCCCTTTTAGGGTCTCACTGTTCAAGACTCTGGCTGGTCTTGAACTCACAGAGACCAACAAAAGAGGGTAAGGTGGGTATGGATATAATTGAGCATACACACCTTTAATCTCAGCACTTGGAAGAAAAGGCATGTAGTCAGATTTTTTCTTTGTGCTGACAGCTCACAGAAAATGGCATGAAGATTTATTATTAATTATGAAAGTTCGGCCTATAGCTTAATGCTTGTTCCTAAATAGTTTTTATAACTTAAATAACTCATTTATATTAGTCTATGTTCTGTCACTGGCATTACTTCTCTCTTATCTTGTACCTCTTGTTTACTCTCTCTGTCTCCTGGCATCTCCACCTTTCTCCTTCCCAGATTCTCTCTGTCCCCGGAAGTCCTGCCTAACATCTTCTTACCTAGCTATTGGCCATTTAGCTCTTTATTAAACCAGTCAGAAGATACATTGGCAAACACACGTCTTTGCAGTGTAAACAAATATTCTGCAACACAGGCAGGTGGATTTCTGTGACTTTGAGGGTAGCCTGGTCTACATAGAGAATTTCAGATCAGTTAGTACTATAGCAAGACACTGTCTCAAAGGATGGAAGGAAGAAAGAAAGATACATTATACACTAGAAAATCATTACGAAGCCCATTGCTTTGTACACTTAATATATTCTAATAATTTTTAAACGCAGCTTATTTCTGAAAATTTTACACTTACAATTTTCCTCCTAAGGTTGACTGTGAATAAGTAAAATATGAAACTGCAAAACAATCTGAATAAAACTGGGGAAAAGATTTGTGTTTTGGTTTTGCTAAGACAGGATCTCACTTTAACCCTTGCTGGCCTAGAATTTACAAAGATCCTTCTTCTCCCTCCCATGCCTGGCCTGGGCAAAACACTTGGGTAAAACTTTGTTTCTTGTATTCTCTGGATATTCTCTGCCAGGTGAGGATCCTGCTCTGTAGGTCAGCTATTTGCTCTGGTGACGGTTCCTTTGATGTATTGGAAGGAATCTTTTAGTTTTATGGAATCCCATTTATTTAATTCTTATTTCCTGAACTACTGAAGACCATTCAGAAAGTCCTTATCTGTGCCTATAGCCAGGTTATATAAAAAGTCAAAAAATTAAATACTACACACTAGAGACTGAAGAGATAGCTCATAGGTTAAGAGCACTTCCTGTTTTTGCAGAGGACAGGGTGGTTCTCAGCACTGACATGATGGCTCACAACTGTCTGTAACTCTAGTTCTAGGGGGGTTCCACACACTCTTCTGGCTTCCTAGTGCTCCTTATGTGTACATCATACACATACATTCATGTAGGCATAGACACATACACATAAAAGTAACAAATTTAAAACTACATACTAAGGTAGTAACCCAACCAATAAACAGACCAGTGAATTAAACATTTCTGTTTAATATTCTTAGCCGTCAGAAAGAGTATATCAAAACCACACTGAGATTGCATTTTACCCCAAGTTATCATCAAGAAAATAAAAGATGTAGAGGTTGGGAGAAGAGGGAAAACCTTTATATACTATCTGTGTGAATATGAATTAGTCCACATGCTGTGGAAATCATTATTGAGAGCCCTCAAAGACTTCATATCACCCTGCTATACTACGCCTGGGTGATATAGTTTAAGGCGTCAAAGTTAGCATTGGGCAGAGATACCTGCAGTGATGGGTATCTTGTTTAGACTATCAGTATTCATGTTAGCCAGGTTGTGATACTGGCTTAAGTGTCCGTCACTGCATGACTGGATAAGCCAAATGTGGTATAAGTAAATGCTATACATGTTCAAAAAATGTCATTGTGAAAACATTGTTTTATATAGTATTTATTATCAGATACTTAAATTTAATATATTCATAAAAGTATAAGACACAATATAGAACTTTCTTCCTTTTTTTTTTCTTTATTTTTATTGAGACAGGGTTTGTGTAGTGCTTGCTGTCCTGAAACTCACAGAGATTTGCTTGCCTCTGCCTCCCAAGTTCTGGGATTAAAAGCATTTGCCACTGCCTCCTTGGGGACTGTTTTCGAAGAGGAAGGTAAACTAGGATGGAGGCAGGGATGGAAGATGTGAATCTGGTGAAATATGAAATGCAGAGCATTATTCTGTCTAACCAATACGCTAACTTAAAAAGTTGTTTGGTATTGTCTATATAATGATTAATTTGCTTTGTGCTTATTAAACAGATATTAATTTATAGAATTTAGCGAACCTGGTTCTTAAAATGGGTATATTCCAGTATATAAACTATAATAAACTTATGCATGCATTCCCATCCCTACCTGTGAAGTTTATTTCTGTTTTATGCTTTGATTTTTGCTAGTTTCGTGTGTTTTTTGGGTAACACAACTTTTGCGACTGCTAGTTGCTCTCCTGTAAATATTCTGATTATCTCATTTGGGTGTGTGTGGGTGTGTGTGTGTGTGTGTGTGTGTGTGTAAAATTATTTTATATATTGTACTTTGTATTACGTACTTACTACATTTTATAACATAGAGTATATGTGTTGTATTATATATTTTAATACTGTCCTCTCTCATTTAAGCTATGAAGATGGACATCCCTCACAGTCTGAATCAGATATCCTTCAGAGACAGACATTTGCAGCCTCTCATCAGCTTCCTGGTTATGCTCCCACACCTCAAGCAACTGGTAATAGTCCTTTTGTTAAGTTTATGACTGTGGTTATACTGAGTGGATAAGAAAAATCAGCTTTCACATTTTGGTCTATAAACATAATATATAAGACATCTATTTCATGGAAATGTTATAAAATGAAAATGAGATAATGTTTGGCTTTAATGATAATAAACGGACACATTTTTCTTTCTAGCACCTTTGTAGGTTTAATATATACCTAACCAGAGTCACACATAGTGGCGCACACCTTGAATCCCAGCACTTGGGAGGCAGAGGCAGGTGGATCTCTGTGAGTTCAAGGCCCATCTGGTCTATATGAGATCCTGTTCAGCTAAAACCACATAGTGAAGTGCTGTCTAAAAAAAAAAAAAAAACACAAAACACATACACACACACACACAAACCTATAGAAATTGTAAAGAAGAATGCTGTCTTGAAATGTGAGTCTCTTACTTGACATTTCCTATGAATGGTTGATTTTTTTCATAACAATTATGTGTCTTGATGTTGGACAATTCAAGAGAAGTCAGTACTTAAAGTGCAAGAGATTTCTTCAATGAATATAATTTGGTTTAACAAAAGAAAGAAAAAGAAAACTTTACAGTGTTAACAACATCTCTGTTACTTTTTATTTATTTGTTAGATGTAGTCAATTTAGGATTTTAATTTTAAAGTTTTGTACATCTTACTTCATTATTTTGTGTGAGGAATTTGGAGTAAATTAACTGCCAGAGGGTTATATACACTTTTACTAACTTTTATTTTCATATGGCATTTATCCAGTTTTCCATGTGTAAACTTACTTTTTTAATTGTTATAGATATGAATTGCTGTTTATTTTAGGAATTTGATTTTGCTTTCAGAAAGCAGGCTAAAAGTCAGTCTGTGATAGTGCTTACCTTCAACCCCAGTACTCAGAAAGCAGTTCTCTCTGAGTTAGAGGCCAGCCTGGTCTGCAGAGTGAGTTCCAAGACAGATAGGGCTACACAGAGAAGCCCTGTCTTGAAAAAAAAGCAAAACAAACAAAAACAAAAAAGAAAGAAAACTAATTTTAAATGTAATTTTATTTTATTTTTTAATTGATATTTATTGAGCTCTACATTTTTCTCTGCTCTCCTCCCTGCCTCTCCCCTCCCTCTTTCAATCCTCCCCCAAGATCCCCATGCTCCCATAAATGTAATTTTAAGAGTTTACATACAGATCCAATTTTTAAGGCTTTTTATTAACCCATAGACATCTTGATGGGGTAAAAGTTGTCTTTCACTACTGTGTCAATATTTATTTAAATGCCTGTGCTATAATTACCTAAAGATTTTTTTATGTTTTCTTCATAGGCATGCATTCCTCAGCAGCAACTGAGCTATTTGTTACAGGACCCTTGCCAACCTCTGGAACACTTCCGCCACCTGTACTATCCGCTTATCAGCATCCTGCGACTTTTAGCAATAGAAACTTTGCGACCACCTCACCTTTGGTGCTTCAGGATTCATCTTTTAACACTACATCAAATGGAATTTTAAGCCCTCATGATCCTTTGCTACAAATTAAGACTTCCCAAGGAACTGTTCCAACTGCTTTGGCATTTGAGCGCCTGGGCAGTTCTGCATTAAGTAATAGCATACCACCTCAATCTTCAACATATCGCTCAGCTCAAGAGTCAGCACCACATCTCTTACAACCTCAGTTTAGTTTATTGCCTTCAACACTTGGGGGAGCCCAGCAAACCCCTCAAGGATACAGTTCAACTCTTTTTACTAGTTCTGCTGCTTCCATTGAAAGAGCCCTTCTTCGAGAATGTAGTGTTATTAAACACCACCAGCGGCCTTCAGATACCCAGTCTATTCAGGCACAACTGACTGTTTCACAGCTTCCCTTACATAGTTATCTATCAAGTGCAAGTATTGGTAATTTTCAGGAAACATCCAGGCAGTCAACTTTATCCTGTAGCTCAATTCGAGATTCTACTCAGGTGAGCAATGGAGCATTGCAACAGAAGACCCCTCAGGTCTCAGCAGAACATGCTCAGTCTTATTCATCTGTAATTCCATCATCAGGGTATCTTCCTTCTGCTACAAAAGTAGACGCTTGTTCTACAAAACAACCACTAACATCAAGTGTGATTCCTCCTGTACAAACACTAAACTATTCTAAACCTTTACACAACCAGAGTTCTGTAATATCAGGTCAAGCACAAATTTATTCTACAGCACAACTACCTAGTCTTTTATCAGTCAGTCAGTCCCAAAATTATGGCTTAGTACAGCCACATAATGTGCCATCTATTGTTCATTCACAGGTTTATAGGTCCAGCAGGGTTGAGAAATTGCCATCCTTATACAAAACATTGGCCTTTTCTGGGTCTTCTCAGCCTGTAACCTCTGAAAATCAGACACTTAGTTATTCATCCAATCAGCAAGAAGTATTATCTTTAGTTACAAATGAGAATTACCCTGCTCAAACAGGAGACCTGGCATCAGTCAGTCAGCCTCAGAATTATTCATCTGGTCACTCTCAGGGTTTGTCACCAGTTAGCCAAACACAGGTCAGTTATTCATCTCAATCACAAGTTTTATCAGTTGTTAGCCCTTCAGAAAGTTATGCATCGGTACAATCTCTGACATTAACAGCCCCTTCTCTTTCTTATTCTTCTGCCTCCCGGGGTCAGAACTTGCCAGATTCTAGCCCAACACCAAATTATATTTCTATGCATTCATCCCCAAACACTCATACCCAAGGATCTTCACCGCCTCAGCCCCAAAAGTTTTTGCCTGCTGTGCAGTCATCTTTTGCATCCTCTACTCGTGGTCAGGCAATGCAGAATAGCATACCTTCCCCTGATCCAAAGACTTACGCTGAGAGAAAACTTGACTCAAATGTGTATACATCTTCCGAGCAAAATGATGATTTTCCAATGCAAAAGTTACAGGCATTGCAGTCACAGGCTTCTCTTGAGTCATCAAGCCAAAGGCTGCCTGATGGAGAAGTGAATGCTCAAGAGTCAGTTTATAAGACGTCAAAGTCAGATGACCGATATTCTCAGAATATAACCAGAAACAACTCCCACCTTGAAGACCAAGTTGTTGGAGTTGCTCTCCAGGGTTCAAAACAAGAAGAAAACATGGTTGGTACAGTGACACAACTTAACCAGCAAAGTGGCCAGCCCAATAATGCAGTAAATACTGATCTTAAGAAGGCAACAAATTTAATGCCAGCACCACAGATAAGGTTGAATACAAAAGACCTCAACCAGCAGCATTCTCTCATACATAAGATTCATGAAGCCAAGGTTCAGGAACAGCATGATCTAATTAGTGCCTCATCTCAGATACAGATTTCAAATCATGCTTTGGGGCATAGTCATCAGACTCTTCCTAATACACCAGTCCTTTTAGATTCTGCCTGTGACTTACAGATTCTTCAGCAGGCTGGGATTCTACAGGCAAGCCTAGGACAAGCAAAGACATCTTTACAAGTACAGCGTGTTCAGAGCCCCCAACAGGTAGTCCACTCTTTTCTTCAGATGGATGGTCACATCATTCAGAGCAATGGTGAGCATCCACAACAGCAGCTCCATCCTCAAAATTCTGAGATTATGAAACTAGACCTCCCTGAACCTTCAAAACCTTTGCAGCAGCTAACAACGAAGGGCCCTTTCAGTGAAGCCAATCAACATGATTCAAAGAATCAGTTTGTTTCTCTTGGATCAATGTGCTTCCCAGAGGCAATGCTTCTCAGTGATGAAAGAAATATTTTATCAAATGTAGATGACATCTTGGCAGCTACAGCAGCAGCTTGTGGGGTTACACCTTCTGACTTTTCTAAGTCCACTTCAAATGAAACCATGCAGGCTGTTGAAGGTGGTGATTCTAAATCTCATTTTCAGCAGTCATTAGATGTCAGACATGTGAATTCAGATTTTAACTCCATAACAGCTACAGTAGGAAAACCACAGAATATTAATGACATTTCCCTAAGCGGAAATCAGGTTACTGTAAACCTTTCATCAGTACCCACCCTTCAGTCAAAAACAGTCCTCGATCAACAGCACATGGAAACACCTGGTCAGAATATACCCACAAAAGCATCTTCAGCCATGGTTGGACCAGGTCATGAAACGCAGGAGCAAAGTGCTGACCCATTTAAGAAACAGTTGGCTATGAATCATGAGTCAAAAGAAGATAGTGAAATTGCTGTTGAAAGTGCATTGAATAATAACAGAAACCAAGAGTTTGTTTCTGCTAGCCAGAGCATAAGTGGAGAGAGTGTAGCATCAGAGAGTGATTTTACCCTAGTAGGTGACGACAGCAGTATGTCGGCGAACCATCGAAGGAACACACTTGCACTGCTTGCCATGGCCCAGCCTGGGGATGCAGCTGGTGGCAAGACTGAAGATGAAAAGCAAGAAGCAGCATACTTTAACCTTCCAAAGAAAAAAGCTAAAGGAAAAGGACAAGGTAAAGAGGAAGAGGACAGTAGTCAGAAACCACCGAAAAAGTCTGCTCAAAGCAAGCGCCAGAACCCTAGGGGTGCAGACATGTATTTACCGTACACTCCCTCTTCCTCAGAAGGCTGTGATGAAGGTTACCAGCATCAAGAAAAAATGAGGCAGAAGATCAAAGAAGTAGAGGAAAGGCAGCCAGAAGTCAAAACAGGATTTATTGCTTCTTTCTTAGACTTCCTGAAGTGTGGGCCCAAGCAACAGTTTTCTACCCTTGCTGTTCGAATGCCTAGTAGGACCAGGCGGTCAGGAACCCAAGTCACTCATCCTTTCTGTGCCCCACCACTTGCAAAGATGTCACCTGCAACACCTGTGCCATTAGCGTTTGAGACTGGAGGGGTCAGTCCATCAGAGAAAGTTGACAATGAACTCAAAAATTTAGAACACTTATCTTCCTTTTCTTCTGATGAGGAAGATCCTAGCATGTGTGGCCATGATATCTATAAGAAAATCTCCGCTCCCTTATCTGCGTTGGATACCACTTCTGATAAGACAAAGAAAACAGGTAAAGTGTTAGACAGATCCACAGCTGCGACACCCTGCCGTTACTCTTTCAGCTATGCATGCATTTTAACCTCTCTAGTGTTAAGCACCTTGCAAGTATGTCTTAGGGACAAGAAAATGTCTTCGGGCTTTGCTTTTTGATATTACCTTACATGTAGAATTTTGGTTATACCACAAATATCACCTAACACAGTCGCTGTCTGCATTTCTACAAGTGTACAGCTATCTTAAGGCAGTTTTGGAATAGGAAGCATTATACCTCTTGTATAATATTTTCTTAATATTCCAGTTTTACCCAAAGGTTAGCATTTTACTATTAGGTGTGGTTTTATACAAAATGCATATTAATCTGTTCAAGAGAGAGCTTCAGGATTCTGTGCTGGTTTCTCACTATATTCCCATATCTTGGGATAGATACCTCACTTTTTCCTTCAATTAACATAAGAAAGGTTTTGAGAAGCAGTATCTTGAATAAATAGTTAACAGGGAAGTACATTCTTTCTCTCTTTTTTAAAATAGAATCTCATTTTATAAACCAAACTGACCTTGTACTCAGTGCTGAGATTAAAGGTGTGCTCCACCAGTTCAGTCACAATTTACTATTTTAAGGAACAGATTAAGGAAAAATACTACAGCAATTTATATAGCCAATACCTCTGTGCCAGGAAAAAGGGTTAGGAAATGTGCACACAGAAAGGGGCTGCAGAGATGGCTCCAGAGTTGAAAACACAGTGCTTTCTCAGGGGAGCTAAGTTTGATTTCTTTAGTACCCATGTTGGGCGTATGACAGCCACCTGTAACTTCAGCTCTAGGGGGTGTCTGATGCTTCCAGCTTCTTTGGGCACCTGCACTCTTGTACCTAGTTATAGATGTGCACATCATTAAAAATAAGTAAACTGAAAGAGAGATGCACATGTGATTTAACTGAGGGTATGTGAACTACTCCCACGTAACTAGTGACAAGTGACAAGGCCAGCTGTGAACCTAGGTTTCAATGATTTTAGAACCTGTAATCCTGCTAAGCTCTTGTATAAATAGGAGTTGTAAGACAAACTCTTTTGCAATATACTTATCTCAAATTGAGGCTATCTTCACTTAGGTGATTTGAAACAATTGGTATCCTAGATAGTTAACATAAATGTCTGATACTAAATATGTTTAAAGGATTCTTATTTGGAGTTTCATGAGATTTTCTTAAAAAACAAAATCTTGTATGGTGATGCACCCATTTAATCTCAGCACTCCGGGAGACAGAGGCAGAAGGAATTCTGTGAATTTACATAACAGTTCCTGACTAGCCAGTGCTGCTTAGCGTGAGACCTTGTCTCAAAAAAAAAAAACAAAAAACAAAACTTGCCCGGTGGTGGTGGCACATACCCTAAATCCCAGTACTCAGAAGACAGGCATGTGGATCTCTGAGAGTTTGAGACAAGCTTGGTCTATGGAGCAAGATCCAAGACAGCTAGGGCTATATAGAGAAACAGACAGAAAAAGGAAAAAAAATTCCTTTTTGAGACAAGGTCTCACTGTGAAGACCAGACTGGCCTCATACTCACAGGTATCCACTTGTGCTGAGATCAAAGATACATACCACCACATCCTTCAGAATTTTATGAATTTTGTAAATGACTTGGTAAATAATCCATAAATACAAAGAAAAAGCAAATATTACTTGGTATTATTACTCAAGTATATCTTCTAAAAAATTTCTGAAGAAGCCAGGTATAGTGGCACATACCTTCAATCCCAGAACTCTGGAGGCAGAGGGAGGTGAAACTTGGTGAATTTGAGGTCAGCGTGATCTACATAATGAGTTCCAGGAAAGCCAGAACTATATAGTGAGAGACACACACACACACACACACACGCTTGAAAATATAAAAGTAAATAACTAATAAATAAAATTTGAAAAGAAAGAAATGTTGATTCTTTCTTCAAGAAAAACATTTTACCTAGAGTTTCTTGTGGAGAGAGGTGCAGACAAGGTGGATCAGTGGGCTAAGGCAGTTATCAGGAAGTCGACAGTTTGGGTTTGATCCTATCCTCGACACAATGTAAAGGTGGAGAAAGAACCAACTCCAAACAAGCTTTGTAGCACACAACGCACACACAGACTATACACAATAAACAAAAATATAAATGCTTTAGGAATTATGAAAGTGATGGATGGCTGAAACAGGCATATCAAGATATTAGTGATTTTTTTTAAGGTTGGGTTATATACTTATAAGATGGAATATTCTCTTTCTATTTATTTACATGCTAGGCAAGTAATCTACCACTAATCTAGGTCCCCAGTGGTAATTTACTTGTTATGCTTTGATTTTTTTTTGTGATTAGGTGCATGTTTAGGTTTTTTTTTTTTTTGAGATTGTATCTTTTCTCCGTTTTAGCTAATTTGTTACATTATTATGAGGCAAACTGTGAAGCCTCAGATACACAGGGATTGCCAGCCTCTGCCTCCCAGTCACTGGAGTTAAAGGTGTGTGTCACCATACCCAGGCCAGGTATATAAGATTTTTCTAGTTAGATTTTCTTTTTCCATGAAAAAAATGTATCCTTTTTTTCCCATTTAATGATTCCAGTTTTTAACATTGGCATCCCAATTTTGTTATTGCTAATGTTTTAAAATGTATTTTTTTCTATTTCTGTGTTTTCTTTTGGAACAGTATTTTTTCTTAAGCACTATAAATCACGTATGGAAATATTCAAACATGCAAAGCAAAATATTCAGTAAATTTTTCATAAATTTGAAAATATAGATACTGTCCAAGCTATCCATATTTCATGAACACCATATAGTAATTTCATGAGCAGAATTAGCATTTAGCAAAGAAAGGAACAAAGGAGGTACTCACCTTCCTAAATAATTCTCTACTTAAAACAGAAACTAAAACTGAATGGACACTGACTTGCGACAGGGTAGCACTGAAAACGAGGGAAGGTGGCTAGAATGTGGAGCAAAGGAGGAAAGTTTTCATAATAAACGCTGTTCTCTAGAAAGCATACATAGTAAGTTAAACCCACCATATAACCTATGAGCTCCCCACTAGGTGATTTGCTTTGCTTTTACACCTGCTTGTTGTATATGTAGATACACTGTACTTAGCTTTAATATCACTAGTAACACATTATATAGCATTGCTTCATTTTAGTCTCAGCACTTGAGGGAGAGACATGGGTTCAAGGCTAACTTTTGGTTCATTTGGATACTTGTTTGGTTTTTAATATATTTATTTACATCCTTTGTTTTGGGATAGGTCCTCATGTATCCTAGGCTGGCTTAGAACTCTATGGCAAAAGATGACCTTGAACTTCTGATCTTCCTACATCTGCCTTCTGAATACATTTTTTTCATCTCTATTAAATGAACTTTTATGTGTTTGTTGGTGTTTATTTGTTTGAGATAAAGTTCTAGAACTCACTGTGTAGATCAAGCCGACCTTGAAGTCACAGAAATTTACCTGCCTCTGCTTCCTGAGCGCTGGGATTAAAGGTGTACACTATCATGTCTAGCCTACTTACTCAGTCCTGACTGGCTGAAATTTAGTATATAGGCTAAGATAGCCTTGAACTCACATATTAAAGTTGTGTGCCACCATGTTTGTTTATTGATAAATTTTTATATTTTTCTCAGATATGTTTATATCCATGGGCCACTTTTAAAAACAGATTATTTTACATGTCTGTGTGTGTGTAATGTGTGTCGGTGAGTAGCTGCCCATAGAGGTCAGAAGCTTGTTTTAACAAGCTTCTGCAACTTTCAACAAGCCTTTGCAACTAGAGAGTTAGAAGGTTTGTGGGTCGCCCAATGGGAGGTGTCAGGATTTGTTCTCTGATAGAGCAGTAAATGCCCATAAACACTAAACCATCCCTCCAGCTCCCTTTGCCCATTTTTAAAATTGATGATTTCTCTTTTTATGATACAGCTGTAAGTGTTCTACATATATTCTGGATACACGTCTCTGGTAAACACCTAATTTTAAACACGTCATTCTCATCTATTTGGCTGGTGACAGCAGTTATAAGATTTACATATTTAATGAGGTCACCATTGTTTTTCTTTGGTCCCATAGACACTTGGTAGTATGCTAAAATTATAACCTAAGGTGGTAAGGAATTATGCCAGTTTGTCTTCAAATAATTATATGATTTTAGCTTTTGCATTAGGTAAGTGATCTGTTTTTATTTAATTTTGTATACAACACAAGGTAAAGGTTCAACATCACTCTTTCATAGGGGCTGTTAGTTGTCCTGATACCATTTGTTGAAAAGATTCATCTTTTGCCCTTTAATGCTTTGTCATTTTTGTGAAAATCATTTGGTCATAAATGCAGTGCTATTTGCTGGGCAGTGATAATGCATGACTGTAATCCCAGCAATCTGGAGGTAGAGGCAGATGGATCTCCGGCTTTGAAGCCAACCAAGTCTACAAAGTAAGACGGCCAGAACACAGAGAAACATTGCCTTGAAAACATATTTTTTCTCTCTCTCTCTCTCTCTCTCTCTCTCTCTCTCTCTCTGTGTGTGTGTGTGTAATACCTGTCTGTCCATATTTTCTTGATTATTGTTGCTTTTTTAATGTCTTTGAATAATATTTGATAGTATTTACAGTATAAATTCTGTAAATTTGATCCTAAATATTTTATTTGCTTCAATAAACATTCATTACAAATATATAGAAACAGATTTGATTATATATTTGCCTTAATGTGTCCTGCGTCCTTTCTGATCTTGTTTATTGGTTCTAATAGTTTTTCAGTAAACTCCTTAGGGTTTTCTATGGATACAAGGTCATGTCATCCACAGATAATTTTCTTAGTTCTTAGGGGGAAACACTCAGTATTCCTCTTTAGATATAGTGAATATTAGCTGTGGGTATTTTGTAAATATCTTTTAACGTTGAGGAGTTATTAATATTATTTCCTTCATAGAATTTAGCAGTCTCAGGGGCCTGTGTATTTTCTTTATAGGATGATTTTTAAATTTTGCTTATTTGGCTGATTATTTTACTTCTATTTTTCATTGTTCGTTAGTTCTTTTTAATAGTTTATATCTTCCTAGAAGTTTGTCTATTTCATCTAATTTATTTAATCTGTTAGTATATAGTGCTGTTTTGAAGTAATTGCTTGTTTTTTGTTGTTGTTGGGGGTAGTGTTTGGCTGCTTGTAAGTCTGTGCACCATGTGTATACCCAGTTCCCATAGAGGCCAGAGAGTACGTCAGATCTCCTGAAACTGGAATTAGAGACAGTTGTGAGGTACTGTTTAGTGCTAGAAATCTAAGCAGGATCCTCTGAAAAGTAGCCCAGTGCTCTTAACCACTGGGCCCGTCAATATCCAGTTATCTTTTCTTCTAGGAGTTATTAAAGCTTTGGTTATCTGATTCTTTCCTATTTTCTATCACGTTTGTGTGTCTCTTCCTTTTGAAATTATCTTTGTTGTGTTTAATGTAGTTTGAGGAACTGATAGATAGGTGGTAGGTCATAACTGCAGGTTTGCACTCCAGTCTTCCTGTCCAGATTCAATTTGCACATCTTTGATTATTAGATTAACATCTGTTTTCTTTATTTCTTCTCATGGAATTGTTTCCAAGCAATTGATTACAAAAATAACTTATGCTAAGTTTTTGGACCTTTCTCCAAACATTTGATTGTTTAAATATTTGTCATTGGTTCTGTTTGTGTTGTTTAGTTTCAGAAGCTCTAACTGTGACAACTCCTGGTGTATCTGCTGAGACTGCTGGTGCTGCACCCACTTCCTCCACTGCTGGTGCAAAACAAGACCTTCATTTGACTTCATCTGCTGTAAACACCCTGGAAAATGCAAACTCCACAGAACCCCCCAAAGCCATCGAACTTGATAGTCTTCCTTCAGACCAGTTTGCGAAAGGACAGGATACAGTTGCAATAGAAGGTTTTACAGATGAGGAAGATATAGAAAGTGGAGGAGAAGGCCAGTACAGAGAACGTGATGAATTTGTGGTAAAGATAGAAGATATAGAGACATTTAAGGTCAGTGAATGCTCCCAGCTTAAAGGACCTGGAATGCATGTCTTTTCATGATTTCAGTGGCATACTTGTTATGCTTTACAAAACACTAAAAATTTTATCAGTATCCTGTTACTGTGTTTTATAACATTGCACTGGATGTCATATTTTTAATTTAATTACTTTATTTAGCCTCTTACTCTGTAGCCCAGTTTGGCACTATGACAAGGGCTGTCACACCCAGCTGGTGTTGGCTTTTTGGAATGGGGGTCTTATATTGTGCAGGCTAGCCTTGAACACCCATGAAGCTGAGGATGACCTTGAGCTCCTCTAGCTCACCTATGAGATACTGGGATCATAGGCTTGTACCACCTTACACAGTTTTATGCAATCCTTTGGACTGAATCAGGGCTTTGTGTATGCTAGGCAATCACTTTACCAACTAAGCTACAGCTCAAGTCCAAAATTACATCAGTTTTGTTAATATTTTTTCAAGACTTCCAAGTGAGTATAAGAAAATGTTTATATAATTTTAAGAAAATAGCAGAACTAACACAAACATGAAATTGGATGATGTTTTATAATTTTGTTTTGTTTTTTGAGACAGTGTTTCTCTGTACCTTGACTGTCCTGGAACTTGCTCTGTAGACCAGGCTGGCCTTCAACTCACAGAGATCCGCCTATCACTTCTCACTACCTAATAGAAAGTCTTGGTGGGGGTGGGGGGGGTGAATCCAGAAACATCTTTCCTCCAAGTTAATTTGAGCATGATTTTCAGGAAATAGTGTTTCTTAAATCACTATCACTGAAAGCAATTTTCTTGCCATAATCACTCAGTGTTCCTACCCCCCACACACACACCTTTTTTGCATATTTAATTAAGGCCTTGAGTTTGATACTACTACTACAAGGGTATGTGTAGATGGGTGTTCATTATTGTAGAAACTCTGCCAAAGATAAGAAATGAAATGTTGTGCTAGAGATAGTGGTACACACTTTTAATGTCAGCACTCAACGGCAGATAATCTATATAGATTTAAAGTCAGCCTGGTACATATGATTTCCAGGACAGTCAGGACTACATACAAACTCTTCCTCACCTCCCCCCTACCACACACACACACACCAAGAGAAATGAATGAAGGCTGGAAAGATGGCTCAGAGGTTACAAACACTGGCTGCTTTTCCAGAGGTCCTGAGTTCAATTTCCAGCAACCACATGGTGGCTCACAACCATCTATAATGAGATCTGGCACCCTCTTCTGGCCTGCAGGCATACATGCAGACAGAACACTGTATACATAGTAAAATAAAATCTTTTAAAAAAAGAAAATAGAATAAAAAATTATATTAAGATTCCTCCTCACAGTAACATTCCATAAATATAAACATGTTGATATTTTCCTAAATATAATTAATTCTGCTTATTGTAGGAAGCTTTAAATATAGGAAAAGAGCCCCCAGCTATTTGGAAAGTACAGAAAGCTTTGTTACAGAAATTTGTTCCTGAAATTCGAGATGGGCAAAGAGAATTTGCAGCTACAAATAGTGTAAGTAAAATGTTTGACTCTATCAGCTTCTCTAAACTGACTGTCCGGGGTGCAGTGAGTGGGTTTAGATGCACTGACATTGTTTCTGCTATTGCAGAGGACCTGGATTGCAGCTGTAGGGGATCCTGTGCCTTCTTCTGATATCTGAGAACACCTGCACTCATATGTACACATGTACACAGATCCACATACCTAAATTTTAAAATAAATTAGTGAAATAACAGAGCTGGAAAGATGGCTCTGCAGTTCATAAGACATACTGCTCTTGAGAAGGACCTGAGTTCATGTTAGGAAACTGAAAACTTCCTGTACTTCCATCTCCTCTTTGGGATCCGCATGCACTTGTGCATGTTCCTTCTCTTGCTCCTCTTCTCACTCACGCATTCCCTCTCAAACAGATACTGTCTCCCCACCCCTGCCCTTCTCAAAATCAGGATAAAACTAGTCTGGGTAGGGGTATGTTTTGGAAAATGTAAAGGGTAGCTGGCAGTGAGGTCAATAAAGTACTATTTATGTGTATAAATTATGTAATTGTATAATTCTAATACTTCCTTCCTTAGTATCTTGGATATTTTGGAGATGCAAAAACTAAATACAAAAGGATATATGTGAAGGTCATTGAAAATGCAAACAAAAAGGAGTATGTTAGAGTGTGTTCCAAAAAGCCAAGAAACAAGCCTTCACAAGCTATCAGGTATTTGTTTTGTATGTAATATATTTATGTGCTTATTTGAGCATTGTTAGCATATAAAGGATCACATGAGGATGATGCAGTCCCTTTTGCAGTGACTCCTTTACAAAGAATTAATTGGGTGCAGTAAAGTAGGTACCTTCTTCTTTGCCTGGGTCTTTTGGTGTGACAGAGGTGCAAATGTTTTGGATCTACCTCTTTGTGAAAGAACCTTTCTGAATGTAAATGTCAAGTTTATAATAAGGTAATTGGGTGATGGGACACACACAGACACAGTAGAACTCCTATAATGGATCAGTGTGCCTGCGTGGTCTGCAGCATGAATTTGGAAGGTAGTTGGTATGACACTGATGGATATTGGATGTGCTATAACTCTCGGTACTCATCATTCTGCTTATCATGTAGCTCTATTTTAATTAAGATCATCACCTGTTTTCAGCTACTGGCCCAATGGTCATGATGTTGATTTTTTTTGTTTGTTTGTTTGTTTTTTGTTTTTTGAGACAGGATTTCATTGTATATATAACCTTGGCTGGCCTGGAGCTAGCTCTGTAGACCAGACTGGCCTTTAACTCACAGAAATCTGTCTGCCTCTGCCTCCTGAGTGCTGGGATTAAGGTTGTGCACCACGACTACCCGATGTCCTGATGGAATTTAACCACACAAATTTCTAGATTTAGCGTAGGAGTTCAGGGCTTCTCAGACAGATGCATATACATGTATTCCTTCATCAAAACCTAGTTCCACTAGAGTATCAAGGCTAGATTTGGCTTTGTATACCTCATCTTCTCTGGAAAATGAACCATAAGGGATTTGATGTGCTAAAATTGAGTTAATAGCACCTTAATAACAGCATAACGTGCCAGTGTCAAGCAATCTATTTCAAGAAAATGCTGTGGTAGTCACTGTTGAATTGTACAGCACGTGAACTTTTTTTGGAACTGTTGTCCTGAGTTTATTTAATCTTCTCTTATTAATAATCAGATTGTCTCTTTTCAATTTTAAGAGATTTAATGATGTTAATGAAACTTGTTTTAACATTGCAGAAATGTTCCATCTAAGCCAAGTAGTAGCAGTAAAACTTCTGATCCACCAGTATCAAAAACTCCAACTACAAAAGCCCCTTCTACAAAACCCAAAGTTAAACAGCTCAAAATGAAGGCTGAGCCACCACCAAAGAAACGGAAGAAATGGAAAGAAGAATTTTCATCATCACAATCTGAATCATCTCCTGAGGTCCGTTCTAGCAGTAGTGAGAATGAGGGTGAGTTCCCCAAGAAATTAGTATTTTGACTCTTTCAGTGTGTAGGAATGGAGCAGCATAGTGATGACAACAGTTCAGATTGGATTAGTTGACTGGATAATTGTATTGTCCAAGTTCGTGTGTAGCAAGTTCTAATAGGTCTTAATAAGAAGATACCCATCATTTTCTCTGAAGTAGATTGGTGATGCCATGAGCAGACATGTCTCACTGTCATAAAAAAGAGAAAAGAACCTATATTATTAAAACAGCTTTAATTCCATATTTTGTAGTTCTCTGAAGTGTTTGAAGATGACCTGTCTATCTAAAATATATGTTTGACTTTGAAAACATACTTAATATGACTACAAACTCAATTGTAATAGGTGATTAATTACTTACCTACATTTTCTTATTCTAAATATTTGGTAATAATAACTTTCAAGGGCTAGAAATTTGCATTACATTGTTAAATGAGTTGCATGGGTACCGTACCTTGAATAAGACAGAAATGTATGTACAGTATGGTCTAACAAAAATAATCTCAAGAACTGAAGAGATGGCTCAGCAGTTAAGAGCTGCTCTTCCAAAGGTCCTAAGTTCAATTCCCAGCAACCACATGGTGGCTCACAACCATCTGTAATGAGGTCTGGTGCCCTCTTCTGGCCTGCAGGCATTCACGCAGACAGAATATTGTATACATAATAAATAAATAAATATTTAAAAAAAGAAAAAAATAATCTTAACTTTGTATCAATATATGAAAAAAATCCAAGCCAATGTAAGATATTAAGACTAGTAGTTGCTTTTTTTATTTAAAAGTAGATTTAATAATCTACCCTTTTATTCTATCATATGTATCCCCCCTTTTTTTAAAAAAAACAAAAACTCAAGAGCCTAATCTCTTTTGTTCAACTTCCTTCCTGACCATAACCAACAACAGCTTATAACCACCCCCCTAAACAATGACAAATATCCATAACTGATTGAATGACCAAAAACCGTCCACCTCACCTCTTGGGAATTCTTGTTGTATTCTTGAATTTACTTCCTGCTGTCTGGGTACAGTGGCATCTTTAAAGGATTCTAAAGAGAAAGATTTAGCTTAGTTGTCAAGTCATTGGAAAGGTAGCTATCATTTGTTGTCCAGTCTCTGTGTAATGGAAAGATGCAGGGCTTGTCTCACATCCTGGCTAGAGTGGTCTGTAAGGCTGAATCATCTTACTTAGCTAGCCACCTTGAAATCGTCCTGAGCAGTTTGCAGTCCAAAGCTGATCTTTAGGTGGTGTTTTTCAGTTTAGTGGGCTCCTATATGTAGCACAAGTTCTAATAGATTTTATTAATAAAAACCCAGAGTCAGATATTGGGTAAAATACTGAGAGATCAGAGAGATGAATGAGCAAAACCACAGACACCTTACCTACTCAACTTTCTGGCAGAAAAGAAACTGAGCTCCTTTCTCCTCCTGCCTTATTACTTCCTCTCTTTGCCCAGCAATTTCATTTCCTGTCTGTACAGACCTATGTTTAGCTAGTGTCTAGCTCCACCCTCTGATCTCCAGACAAGCTTTATTTGTACAAACCACAAGCTTTGTACTAATCACACCCAATGCAGTACATTTGACCTCTGTAAATTTGATGCCTTCTAGCCTGAGGAATGCCAATTGCCTACTAATTGTGGGGATTACTAAGAATCGTCCTAGTCATCAGGCCGGTGAGATGACTCAGTGGTTGAGAAGATCTTGCCAATTCCCAGCACCCACATCAGGCAACTCACAACTACCTGTAACTCCAGTTCCTGCACACACACACACACACACACACACACACACACACACACCTCATTACACATATACTCATAGAGGCATGTACGTGTGCACATAAACAAAAATAAATAAATCTTAAAGGAAAAAAATTGAGCCAGGCATGATTCATGCCTGTTGAGACAGGTTGATGAATCTCTCTGGTTTCAAGGCCAGCCTGGCCTACATACTGAGTTCCAGGACAACTGGAGCTTCATAATAAGGCCCTGTCTCAGAAAAACAAAAACAAAAAAATCCTGTAGTTTATGCCAGAAGGAAAATGGAAACAAATCTAGACCAAAAGAATTCAATCTATAATAAATTAGTACAATATGAAGTACATCTACCAATATTTGCTATAGTAGAAATTAAAACATGTACAATGCAAGAATACACAGCACACATTCCATTAGCTGTGGAAACATGGAGTATAATGCAAGAAATTTTAAGCAGTTCAGCAGAGGTCAGAGGCTTTTCACATTAACTTGGTCACTACCCAACTTTTATTTGGAAACATATGATTTCATGTAGTTGTTTCCTTCCACAGTAGCAGTTTTCAGTTGTTGGTATAGAGACCATGTGACCAGAAAACCTAAAATATTCGCCATATAACTGTTGTGGGTTTTTGTTTGTTTTGCTGTTATTTTTTCAAGACAGGTGCTCACCATTGCCTGGTGTCATATGACACCATACGACTCTTTACAGGAAATTTTACTGGCCATTATTCTTCTAAAATATGGTGGTGAGTTGGTGGTGGCATACGCCTTTAATCCCAACACTTGGGAGGCAGGTACATCTCTGTGAGTTCTAGGCCAGACTGGTCTACAGAACAGCCAGGGCACACAGAGAAACCTTGTCTCAAGAAAAAAACAAAACAAAAAAAACCAAGCAAACCAAAACCCAAACAAACAAAATAAGCTAAAATATAATGGTGAAGGCAAAGATGAAGGGAAAAGGGAAGGAATTTCAAGGCACACTAAAGCTGCAAAGCTTGGGTTCTTTATGAACAAAGCAAAGTTTTTGGAAGAATTTAAGTAAGAAGCAACATGATGAAATTTAACTATTAAACCTAGTTTCAGGCAAAAATGGTGTCAGAACCCAAGTAGTGGCAGCAGGAATGGAGGAAACAAATAATAGAAATTGAGGATTGTAGCACAAACAATAAAACCTAGATACAGATATTGGTGTTCAAGTTGAAGATCAGAAAAGCAAAGCAGCCAGCCACTGGCTCTTAGCTGTACCTCAGACTGAAATGGGCGATTAAAGGCATGCACCACCACCGCCCAGCTTCTATGGCTAACTAGTGTGTGCCACCACTGCCTAGCCTGTATGGCTGACTACTGTGGCTAGCCTTCCACTCCGATCTTTGGGCAAGCTTTATTTATTACAACACAAATAAAATGTCACTATAGAGGATGTCATCTGTACTCACATGAGGAATTAGTTGGTTATTAAGGATATAATTGAGATTGATAGGTGTTATTGCCTGAAAGCTGTTCATAGAAGCGTTTTGATAAAATTGGAGCCAGAATATATAAAGTCCTCAGTATTGAAATCTACTTTAAATATTTTGGTTTTTTTGAGACAGGGTTCTTTGTAGTCTTGGTTGTCATAGAGTTCACTATATAAACAGGCTATCTTAGAACTCACGAAGATCCTCCTGCCTTTGCCTCCTGAGTGCTGAGATTAAGGCCATGTGTGGTTTTTGTTGTTGTTAATTGTCCTCTGATCTCTATATGTGTTGTGATAAACATGCATTCTGTGCACACATACAAGAGAAGTAAGTGTAAATTAAATATTCATGGTAGAAGTGTGTATATGTGTGCCTGCATGTGTGTATAAGGGCATGCGCGCGTGTGTGTATTTATAAGGAAGATATATATTTAAGTCGTCATTTGTGCTTTTTCTGTTAACAGTACTCATTCCTTAGAATAAGAGGACTTGGGTTCTGAATTTAAGTATACAGATTCCTCAAGTAACAAGAAAAATTTTTCTTGGATAAGTAACATGCAGACCACTAGATGTCACTAGTTATGCAGCACATTTTGACTCTTAAGTCAGATAATATGGATTTATATGCTGATTCTGTTTTCACATTGCATGCATGCATGCCTGTGTAGGTGTGTATATGCTACAGCATACACGTGGAGGTCCAGGGAGCACACTTGGGGAATCAGTTCCCTCCTGCCATGCTGGGTCCAGGAATCAGTCCAGGTGTCAGGCTTGGCAGCTACTGTCTTTACCATTGAACTGTCTCACAAGCTTGTAGTTTTGTTGCTGTTATTATTTTATTTTGTTTAGTCTGTCCTGGAACTTACTGTGTAGACCAGGCTCACCTCAAGCTCACAGAGATCAACCTGTCTCTGCCTCCCAAGTGCTAGGATTAATAGTGTACACTACCATGCCTGACCTTACATGATGGTAATTTAAAATTTTCAGAATATTTTTATAATTTTGTAGTAAATTGTGATTAACAAACAGGCTCAATACATTTAGATTTACTAAGTAACAATTAAATTTTTAAAATGTTAAAATATCTTTTGAATGATCGATTGCTTATTAACACAGTGGGTTTTTTCGTGTCTGTTGTACATTTAGTTTGTTACTGTACGTCAGTTTGGCTAATATCTGAAGAGAGCATGATAGCAGAAAGTGTGTTGTTAAGAAGATAAGAATTTGAGTCGTCCTTTCAGATACTTAAACTTGGCAATAGACTTTTCCCTTTTTTAATTTTTTATTTTTATTGAGCTATATATTTTTCTCTTCTCCTCTCCCCTTCTGCCCTCTTGCCATGATCCCCATGCTTCCAATTTACTCAGGAGATCTTGTGTTTTTCTACTTCCCATGTAGATTAGATCCATGTATGTCTCTCTTAGGGTCCTCTCTGTTACTAGGTTCTCTGGGGTTGTGAATTATAGGCTGATTTTTCTTTGTTTTATGTCTAAAAGCCACTTGTGAGTGAGTACATATGATACTTGTCTTTCTGGGTCTGGGTTACCTCACTCAATATGATGTTTTCTAGCTCCATCCATTTGCTCTTTTAATAATTTCTTTACTTATGTTGATGAGTGTTTTGCCTGCATAAATGTATGTACACCATGTGTGTGTCTGGTCATGAAGATGCATAAGATCCCCTTGAACTAGAGTTACAGATGGTTGTGAATGACTCTAGGCACTGAGAACCAAACCCAGGTCCTCTACAGGAGCAAGTGCTTTTCTTAACCGCAGTTCTTTCTCTGAACTCTGTTCATGCAAATACTGATTAGCTCTGTGATGATCTTATAAAAATTCATACATTTCATTTTTTATATCTAAAAAGTTTTGCTTAATATTTGCTATTATTAAGTGTATGTTATTCAGTAGCATTAATTATATCATTGTGGTACCGTCAGGACTACTTATTCCCATAACTCTTGTCATCCCAAATGTTTACTATATCAACAATGACTTTCCATTTTCCCCTATTCCAATTGCTGGCTTCTGGCTGTCCTAAAACTCACTCTGTAGACCATGCTGGCTCAGATTAAAGTCTTATGTCACCACCACTTGGCTCCATTGCTTGCTTATTATTTGAATGGTTCCTTGTCCTTTTGTCGTTTAATTTAGAATTTTTTGATATTTGTCTCTGGATTGAATGTGTTTTTGAAACAGGGTCTCTGTAATCCAAGCTGGCTTCCAATTCTCTGTATAGCTCACGACTGCCTTGAATTTCTGATCCTCCGTCTCAGTGCTGTGATTACTGTGTGCTTCACTTCATCTGTCTATATTCTTGGCTTTAAGCCTTTATTGCCTATATGATTTGAAATTACCTTCCCATTTTGTAGGGTGTCTTTTTAAATAACTTTAAATTCTGAGGGAGCCCAAATTACTGCTTTTGTTTCTTGTGCTTTTGCTGCGGTTAAAATTCCTTGCTAAATTCAAGGAAATCGGGTCTAAAACCTCTTATGTTTTCTTAGAGTTCTGAGGCTTTCGGTCTTATATTTTAGAATATTTACAAAATAACATTCAGAGTTGAAGGTGTGGCTTATTAGTAGATCATTTGCATGGCATTCATAAGGTATTGTCTTCAATAATCTGTTGAAAAATAAATCAGTAATTTCACTACTGATATCAGTAAGGCCTTTAAATATTGTGAAGCTGTCCAGCTTACAATAGTGGGTGCAAGTTTTCTAGAATTCTAAATTTTACTTGTAATGAACTTAATTTTATCATTAATACTGCCAGTTTTTAGAATTTTCTTTTGGTTTTGGTGTTGGTTTTTAAGATAAGGTCTCACTATATATGT